ATCTTGCGATATCAAACACAACCCTACAACAATCTCTATTGAATGGTCACTATTTATGTCTTAAATTTGCTCTCACTTGTGATTTAACATTACTGAAGTAAAGCCTCCTTTGTGAACTTTTCTTTAGTGTGGCCAGTTTTACTATTTAAATTTTGACAATGGCTTCTCTAGAATGTTTTCATTGTGCAGTTTTACCAGGTTACGTGTGTGCACCTGAAATCCTGCATCTTAGCTGCATTAGATCTTTCTTACTCTTTCAACTATAAATTGTTGTGGAGTTGAGCTTTCCTCTCTTGATGTGAAGACTGATATTGCAGCCTACAGGTATAGGTATATGTTTATGTCTTGCTTTATATTCACTTATGTTGGCTTTGTGTCCTCTCAACTCAGAATTTCCACCAGATGCTATGGAACTTCCCAGACACAGTATTACTTCACCAGGTCTCAGTTGCCAGGGGAGTTTTTAGCAGGGTATAAAGCAACAGCATCTTCATCTTTTCATTCCACTACATTTCTGTAATTTTGATTTTGTTCTTTCTCACTGCAGGGGCAAGCCCTGCTTGTTTTGGGGTTCCCCCCAAAAAACCACATTACACTTGTTCAAAGACATGCATGAGATCTTTTCATTTAACATCCTTATCTAGCACCGTGATGATTTTACTTCATGTTCTTATTTTCTCCCACAGGGATAATCTGTATCCCATTCTTTACTGGCAATGGAGATAACGTGTTGCACACATCTTCAAAAGATGTCCCTGTTCAAGTTTGTGTATTTCTCAGCTCCTGACAGTTTTTTTTCCCAGACCTTAGTTAAAAAAAAATTTTATTCACTTTGTATGCTAACATTCCCACTTCACTTCTGGAGACGGGACACCAGCCCCTGTGTGTAGACACTCCACTTTCCCCAGAAGAACCCACAGTGACTAATGAACTTAAATCTGCCTTTCAGAAATGCTGAAATCCCCAATTGTCTTTTTCCAGGTTGGACCTCCAAACTGGAAGAGCATTTCTGAGAAAACTACTGTTAAGTCACTGGACCTAAACTTTTTACCTGAAAGCTCCCAGGATCTTTTATCTCCATCCCCCTGTGTTCTTAGTCAAAGGAAACAAATCCTCAAAGCTCTATTTCCAGTTGACTACTGTTTCTATGAATGCAATTGACAGCTTTCTTTTTTTGCCTTTTTTTTTTTTTTTTAATTCATTACAGACATGAATTCCAAAACTTCAGGGAATGTTTCAGGCTCTGTCAGCTGGAGCACTATTGATTCTTCAGAGTAAAATCTGAAAGGACAGACAAATAAAAAATATCTACTTGGCAGAACAAAATGCTGCTAACCTGCAGAAGCTACAGTAAACTCCAAACAGAATTTCTCATAGGATCTCCTTGTCAACGAGTAACAGGAACAAAACAGATTTGACAGCAAAGTGATGCCTACCATCTCCATTACAGACACATCTCTGCCGTCTCCGGGACCCCAATTACCTTTTCCTACTCCCTCCTATTCAGTTGTTTTAGATGAAGAATCTCTCAGGCACTCCTTCCCACTGCCTGCACAGCCAAGAACAGCTCAACACTTTGCTCGGATGGTCAAAGTGTAAACTCAGCAAGAGACACTAATCAGAGCGCACAACCCTCCAACTGGTACCAACATGTAACACCATTTACAAGTCATCCACCAAAACGGTGAGTGTGTTCAATTAAGAAAGAAAATAAGGTCTGTACAGTCGTGCTCTCCTTCTCATATACATATCTAATTCTACCAGTGCCAGTAGACTTAGTTATTTCATTGCTTTTTTACTAAATTTTTGCTGCAGTTCAGATTACAGAGTGCCAAACAAAGCATGGATAGCAGAAAAGATCCGCAGTTCTCTTGATGTTATTTAGGTCACCTGGACAGAACATAATGCTTCATCAATGCAAAAAAGAATCCTCTCAAAGAATCAAAATCCACACTCAGGATTGGCTTCCAGAAAGGAAGAACAAGCCATCTGAAGACTGCACTGAATCCTTGTATTATTTGGAAATGGGAGCAAGGTTAGGTTTTTCCTTTGTTTCTAACTGTCTTAGTACAGTAATGGCATAGAAAAAAACCAACCAACAAAAAAAAACTCAGACAAACATGAATTCTATGGCAACAGACCACTGAAAATGCAAATATATTTTATATACTATTTTAAATTAATCCTCAACTATAAGTGATGATCAAAGCAAAATACCAATTAATTAAGAATTATATTTATGGAACAGTCATAAGTCTATTAGTCACTTGAATGACCCTGATAGCCCACAGCTTTTTAAATATGGTTTTACTAACACAGAAAGGCATGGTCTATGTAATATGCATGATAATGGATTATGTAAACAGCGCAGATTTGCTGAAGTTCTTACAGTACAAGTGAGATAGGTCAGTTTCTCAGCTGTTCCTAACCATATTACCAGCTGCACAAAACATTTGTGGCCATTTCACATCCATGGTCCGCTAAACCCTTACAGTCACTGCTTTTCTTCCTCCTCCTCTGAAAAGAAACAGAACTGAAATTCTCTGGGTGCTAACACTGAGTATATTAGAAACAGCAGAAACTGAGACATATCTGCAGCTGGAGCTGCAGCAAAGATGAATGAAGGGAAACTATTCATTAAAAGGCTAGAAGAAAAAAAATCATTATTTTAAACAGTTACTACGTACAACATGCTGTTTATCAAGAGATAAAGATTAGACAGAATCCCGCTTTGTACTGAGCCCTGTAACACATGGTGAGCATCACCTATAGACACTGTCAAAAGGCACTATCCATAAGATAGGCTAGATATTCTGAAACAAGGAACATTCTGTGCCTCGCAGTCACTAGTTCTAGTCAGAATGCACCATACTAGGAAATTCAGAAACACAAATAAACCCCTGAATGTATTTTACCTCTATAAAAATCCCAGTTCTTTCAAATTAAGTGGCTTTTCAGAATTAAAGTCATTATAAATCCCACATGGAAGACCATTTTTATTAGAAGATCTGAAGAGCAAGATTTTATTTTGGCAGCAGCAGTGAAGACAAAGGGCACAGGCAAGCCTCGGAAAAACTGCCTCAGCTAAGACTGCCCAGCACTTCCTACTGTAATACCATCTCTTCAGTTCTTATAACTTTACTAAGCTCTAATTGTTCAGACTAAAATTTTCCACGCTGGACTTTTGCCAATTTTGAGAAACATTTTTCAGAGTTTTTTTAGCCTCTTCCAAAAAAGAGGCTAGGGAAAAATACACTGCTCTTTACAGATTAATGAATTCCACTGACCCTTCCAACAGCTTCAGAGTACTAACACTTCAGAACGGGTAGGTCACTGAGTACATCTTTTTGCCAACCCTGGGAAAACGCTCCTGAACTTGACCAAGTACAAGTGTTTGTACATACTGCTAATTTATGTACACAGAAGAGATTTAGATTTTAGGAACTCATTGATCACCCTATCCAAATACTATGCAGGAGGCAGGGAAGTCATGGATGGGGGACATAAACGATTAGAGACAGACTGAAAGTGAAAGATGCACAAATGAAGAGCCAACATGAAAGCAGAATCGGTAAGTGTCACCTGGGCACAGAAACTGGGATAAAGTGTAGTAAAGAATAAAAGTTGGCTGGTAAAGTGAAGGGGTTGAGAAGCAACAGCAGGAGTTTCATCTAGGAGAAAATGCAGGACGGCAACAAGCCAAGTCTGCACGCTCCCCTCAAGAACTGGAATGAAACCCCAAATTGCTGTCTAGCAGACAAATGGCGAGACTCAGTATCTGCAGAACCGCAAGTAATACATCCTATTTCCCTGTGGACCACAGAGAAGATAACTACATACTACCCTGCTAAAATAATACTCTTAATTCAAATTACAGAGGCTCGTTGGATTGGAAGTTATCCATCCTGATAAAGAACAACATCTGTTTTTTTCCAACATATTTTTCAAAAACCCCTAAGAATTTACAAGTAATAAAACAAAGTTAAAGAAAAATCAAAGACTGCAAAACCAAGATCTGAAAGTCTTTGCAATTTTAATTAGGCTTTTCTGTGCATGTATTTTATGAGGAGTTTTTGAAGACACAATCACATACTGCAACTTTCATGAAATCCCCATTTTTTTCCCAGCAAACAGCGCTCTGAAAGTAAATTAGTGCAGCACATGAAAAGGAAATGCATTCTGCAGACCTTTGTTGCAGAATTTAGAAGCTGTGCAATGGAGAAGGCAGGAGTTGAAGAACAAGAAAGATGATCCTACAGATGATGCAGCTAAATGCTGCACTTGAAAACTGGTTTTATCCCTGTTACTGATGAAATCCTTAGGGGATGCCAGGAAGTCTGGGTAACTGTCTTAAGACCACAGGATACTGCCAACCTGCAGAAATATTTTGCAGAAGAACTATGGATACGTTTTGAATATGAAGAGCTATTAGAGATGGTAATGTGAGAAAAGGAATCGAATGGGTTAATACCTCCAAATGAGTACCAAAAATGGATGGTTACATTTGTCTTCTTTCTATGACTCAGATCGCCCAAGCAGAAAATACAATTATCTTCTCAGTCTGTTGTGAAATTAAATTATTTTGTAGAGAACTAAATGGAAAAATGTCATTCTTTCAATGTAACTGTCCACATCTTAAAATTAACTTGATACAGTTTGTGGTCATCCTCTTTTAATATCTTTGCCTATACCTATGGAGTTCCAGCAGAGCAAGCAACTGACAAAGCTGGCATAAACTAGAGGCAGCTGGGGGAACACCAGGACCCTGGTGGTTCAGACTACAGTTGTCACTCTTGTAACCCTTTCTAAACAAAGATTTTTAACCCTTGAATTTGCATCATGACACAAATGCATCTCATAATCTTCTGCCATCTCTCTACTGTCTTACTCCTTCACAGTCAGAGGTAAAACATTGTCACCCCCAACCCAATCAGAGAAAAACAAGTCCATAATATTTAGGAGACAAAACCACATAGGACTAATATTCAGTTAGTCCTTACCTCATTCGGTGGAACAATAGCAAAAGGCTGGATGACAGCTGCCAGTGGAATGCGAGCCTGTTTGGCCATATCTGAAGACGACGGGAAGCAGTAGGTAGTACATCGGATATAACGAGGGCTGGCGTGGCCTAGAACACCCAATATAGCATGCAGAATGAAAGGCTGTAAAAAGCAACCCGCCTGTCCCAAACACAAACCAGAAAAATCAAAACAGCAACATAAAGCAACAAGTGCATATGCTATGTTAAATACACGCTTTTTTTCCTCCCATGCAAGCTTCTGCCCATCCCTCCTCTTTGTATGTCAGCCCATTGCCCCTCCCTGTGGGTAAATCTTTTCTTGCTGTTTGAGTTTAAAGCAGAGACTTAAACATATCAAGAAAAACCCCACAATTATTTGCAATAAGAATCTCAACAGACATTAGTTTGAAACCTATCATATCTAAGGTCTTAAAAGAAAATAATATGGACGAAACCCCCAGTGGAAATGTCAACACTGTATATAAAGAAATGCTGCAGACTGATACCTATTGTTAAGACTGCTCTAACGAGCTAGCTCCGATCCAGAAAACAGTATATCTGTGTTAACATCACCATGCTCATTTATCTTGCAAAATATAGTGTGCTAAAATCACCACACCACTTCTTGCAGCCCACTTAGCTCAGTTTCCTCAATGAGAAACTGTGCTGTGCACTGCAGACAAGAGGACTGAAAGGCAACAGGAGTTCAGAAATCAGCTTCCTTATGCTCCTTTTTTAACCATCAAGCTGCAGCTCTGCTCAGTTTCTTGAAAGGAATTTCTTTGTTCATCAGAACTGCATTACCCCATTCTCAGATAATGCCAAAAAATCTTGATGTGTTTGTACATTTTATACAGTTTATCCAAGCACTGATAAATTAACGCTGGACTAAGTGATACCATCAGTTTAATCTGCATGAAAATATCAGGCCTGCTGTCAAGAGCAGCACATGGAATATTGTACTTCCAGGCTCTAGACAGAGGCAAAGGCAGATACACTGGCCAAAGGAAAAAATTAAATCAACTAGACAGCTTGTACACTGCTCCTATCGCTTGAATAGAATTTTCCAAAATTCGTATCTTAAAATGTAACAGCGCTAGTCTCACTGCCTCTTCTAGTGTCCATCTTTTAAAATTTCAGAAGAATACAAAAAGGATTTTCAACTTGAAATTTAAAACCTTGAAAAATTTTAAGTTAAAAAGAAAAGTTGTCTCAACTATTCATATTATTTTAGAGGTCAGGAAAGGTAGAAAAGGTGTTAGGCAAAGTGTAAGAATTCAACTCCTCCCCCCCTTTTTTTCTTTAAAGGGAGTTTCCCATGTCATGTCCAATTCAGAGTAAGGAGTATCATTTTCAGATGAGAAATTTGAGAATTTAGTCTTTTTTTTAAATTACATTTGATTTATCTTTCTAGATAAATCAGTAACGAAGACAGTTACCTTGGTCTTGGATTACGCAGTCTGTGGTGACAAGAGGAGGAACCTGTCCTCTTGTGTTTGTAGCATAGATCTGCCCTCCCCTAGAAGCCTTATCATTTTCAATTACTTGAATCTGATGAGTAAGAAGCAAGGAGAGTATGAGAAAGGTAAGCCACGCATTCAGTTATGTTCATAAACAGTTATGCTAACATCTACACCAAGTAACACTATCGACATTGTCTTACGCAGAGGTGCTATAAACCTACCGCAATACAGGCTTCTGGACACTTAACAACTAGAAAATTATACACACAGCAGAGCAGTATAACTCTTACAACTGCAGTTGCCTGTTGGAGCTCAGGGGTAACACTACACATCGAGGTGGATAAGACCTATATACAGTGAACAAATGAGTTGTTTAGAGTAAGTATATTGATGTCCTGGTTTCAGGGGTTAAACCACGACAATTGACTACTAGAAGAACAGACCTTTTCAAGAGAGGCTAGCCAGCAAATTGAGACGACTGATGATGTAAATAACTCCTTGCTACTGAATCTCGCCTTCTGTTCTCCCAGATCAAACTGAAGTGCAAGGTTGCATCACCTTACTCAGATGCCATATACACCAGGTTATCTTTTGTATGACCATAGTTGTGCCAGCTGCAGTTCTTCATACATGAATGTACAGGTAATTGATCAGATTGCAACGGTGGGAGGGGTTAGCCCTCATTCCTCCTTACTAGGCTCCATGCACAGGGTGGTTAAGAAATAAACAATAATCTACATAGTAGATCACCTTCCTAGCTGAGCTATATTTCAGCACTGCCACTTAGAAAGCAGCAATTTAAAGTCCTGAGAAAAGCCTTGTTGGCCACTAGGTAGTATTTCAACACTGGAGCTCAGGGTTTTCATTCTCTAGGTCAGACTACCATGTTGTGGACTTCCTCCTAGAAAGAAAGTAAAGGAGAGCAATCACAGAAATTTTTATTAAAATGAGGCAGCTCTGATCATGTACAGATTTACTCTGGTTGAAGCCTAGTTTATAGCAATTTACCATGTAATGTCATGAAACACTCATGAAGCTGACTTTACTACTGAACAAATTCCCTTCCCATACGCTTCCTCCCCTGTCACTTCTGCACAGTCCCTCACCCCTGTTTGATACTTTTCAGGATATAACTGAAGTTATATAAAGGTGTATTTTGTTCCACACCATAAACTGGCTCACTGAGATGATACCATTATTCTTCTCTTCCCTCAGAGAAACTATCTTTTCAGCAATCTGGTTTAGGGAGTAGCCAAACAGCTGTGAGAGGCAAGAGGAATGAGACGGGGAATTTCTGAAACTGGCTTTGCCGCCACTGCTGGTATCGCATGGAATAGTATCTTTACACTGCACATGAATTTCTAATAATAGCTAGGGAAGTTCAGAAGCCTCTGTTGGAAAGCAAACAGAGAAGAAAAACAAAATTAGTTGCATGGAGTCTATTGATCATTGTCCAAGAGGTATTTCCTAACACACTGGAAATAATCTGGGGCCTGTAACTTTTTTTTTCCCCCCAATAAAGTTTTTGCATTGCAATTTAAATATACAATACATTCCTCAGAGAGCTTGTTATATCTTCTGCTTGATTACTTTTCTCTGCCTCCTTGGCTTGTATACTTATTGCTAACTCTTGCATTAGAAGGAAAAAGGTTTTGCTCTAAAAAGCTCCACTGGCTGAAGAAAGCAAACCACTTCCAGACTTAGCTCTGCAAAGGATCAATGTACCATGGTACTCTGCAGTTAAGTGACCTAAATATATCATTGTTCTTGGAAATAATTGTTGACAAAGCCCAGATGCTAGTTTTCATAGATGTCAGAGCACATATCAACCTCTAACATATGTAAGAAAAATATAAATCAACAATGGCTACAGATAAGCAGCAAATTTATCTGGCCACACTACTGTAATTATATAATGTAAATATAACAAGAGAAATACACATGGTCATACTTATTCCTCATTCTGAATTAGCTTTTTGCCCTTTACAGACATTGACCCAGATCATGTTTCTTTTAAACATGTCATCATGTCATTTTGATCCTCTCTGTGCTGCTTAAACAAACCTTTTAACCTATTTTAACGTTGCTGTCATAGTCAAGGCTGTTTATTCTACATGTGTAATTGAAACAAGACATCAGTCCATGCTTTCATGCCAGACCTCCTTCTCCCTGCCTCCCTCCTCCTCTTTTTTTTTTTAATTAGACAAGACCATTTTATCCTTCTTATATAAAAAGCACCATACTGAAACACTAGGAATGACTGACCTATTAAGGGCATTTGTTAATTATACAGACACTCACTTTAGCTTTTTTACACAATGGTTTACAGTTACATTTAACTTGAAAATTGCCTTTAACAGAGGCAATTGCAGTTGTTACATTAACCTCTAAGTGATTATCAACAAGCATTTTTCCAAATTTCTGGGGGTTTCACATCAAAACCATCACTGGATAAAAAAAATAATCCTTCCTAGAAGGAAAAAAAATAATCCCAATTTAAGGAAGCAGGGCTGCTCCCTACTAGACAGTGTCAGGCTTTTACACAAATGCTTTTCCCTCATCTTGGTGGAACACAAATTCTTTCCTGTACAGCAATACTACCTCAGCAGAGAAGTGGAAGACTCCTTCACCCAGACTAGCTTACAGTGTGGTGGTTAATACGTTTTTTTAAGTAGAAAGTTCTAGGTCAAAGCTGCAGGACATAGCTGGCTTCAAGAATCCCAACTCTCCAAGGAACTTTTGACCTGTCCAGACAATTGCCAGAACCAGTATAAGTGTGTGCATCAGAATGTGTTTTCCCCATGAGTTCAGCACATTTTCTCCCTCTACTTCAATTAGTTGTTCCCAGTAAATAAGTTAAATGCAGCCTGCATCTCACTAGTTATTCCTTTGAGTAACAATTAGACTATTTAAGATGGACACAACCACAACCTTGTTTTCTCTTTCTCCAATACCATTCTAAGAAGAAACACTGTCCCACCACTGCATGTTCAGATGTGCTTCAACAGCTGAGCCTCTTCAACCTGTGTGAAGCTTAACCATTAAGTATATTCCAAGCTACTGAAATCTTTACAAGGCTGCAGCAACTGGAAGGATGCTCAGGCAAATAATTCTAGTTGCCTGGGAAACTCCTGAAATCAAACAGTGAGATGGCTTTTGAGCATGGGACTTCTCAGCATTTCCAGGATTGCAGTTTTAGACTTCATGTACCTGTACTCTCCACAAATTCTACTTTAGGTGTCTGTTACTAAGTTTAAGCCGTCAAACTTTCTGGAGTGAAAAGGAAAGGTGATTAGCTGCAGTGAATGCAAGTAATCCTTCAGTACTGCTCACTGTCATACCAAGACTCCTGTTGAGAATTCCTATTAAAGTATTTGGAGTCATGGGTATGTCCCATGTTAGATAAGGTTATAAAGCCTCTTCAGTACTAAAACTAAGGTTATGCATTAATTTATCCAAAACTGACAGCACAGAGTACAAAATTGCGTGTAATTAAGAAACTGCAAAAACTGGAACATACCTTGTGAACCAAGCCACCTAAGTGCAATTTTATGTTACAAAAAACCCAACAACTAAAATAAATACAATATTAGTATTGTCATTCCTTTAACTAAAATGCAGCAGAAATTTACTTTTATAAAAAATTAGTGCCACGTTACTTACTGGGCTTGGAATAGAGTCAGGATCAAGCTTCTTCTGCTGTGGACCTGGGAGCTGTGCCGGACCCCCAGGAAAAGCACCAGGATAAGACAGTTGAGATCCTGCCATCTGAGGACCATAGCTTGCTGCAGAGTTACAAATGACAATTCATTTAAAGTATTTAAGTTGCGTTATCAATTTTTAACATCAACTTTTGCCACACAATTCATTCATGCTCAGCTAAAAGCAACTTCTCCTTCCCTTCTGTTTCCAGCAAGTAAAGGACACGGATTACTTTGGCTCATGCAGTCTGTGTTTTAAAGGTAAGCATAAGACTAGGTGCGACAACTTTGGCTCCAAAGTTCTCAGGTATGCGTCAAATAGGATGGTTAGTAGAGATTACTACAGCTACTCAAACCAGGCCACTACATTAGTGAGAATCTCTCCCCTAGCATCAGTCAATGCAAACAGGTCTAATTAGCTTTTCAGTTGTCAAAATAACTGTTTTACTCACCTATGTCAGGTGAAATAATTGTATTGAGTTACAACTTTTTATTGATACAGTAAAGCGTTTTTGAAAGCCACTTATGACAGACAGCGCTGTAAGACAGAGAACAACCTATACCTTTACAGAGTATAAGAAAAACTCCTTTCTACAGTACATTGTGCCTCTACTCATTACTAACCAAAATATTACTGTTCCTGATCCAAATTAATCTCCTTTTTCTTGTTACAGTCTCAACAGAGCGCTAAACTTTTGAGCAAAAGCACGGTCTACTTTGAATGTACTGACTGACAATGCAAATCTTTCCATTCTACACAAAAAAGGATTAAATTTTCATTTTTCGAAGTAAGCAGAATATCAACTGTGAATGGTCACAGTTCCACCAGTGATTCTCCATGCATGTTTTGTTTTCAATTACATAACAAGCATCCTTCCTTACCTTGCTGAGGATGATATCCAGGCCCTGGAGGCTGTCCTGAAAGCTGCTGCAAGTTAGGATTTGGGGGGACAGGCCCAGGGATTCCATCTTGTCTGGCCATAGGAGGCAACGATGGCTGAGCACAAAGGCCATTAACATTATTTGCTGGTGGAGGAAGCTGTGATCCAGGTGGTATAGCGACTTGCTGCTGGGTTGGTGGTGGTAGCTGTGGACCCTGAAAAGATGCCGGATGCCCAGAAGACATGCGAGTGCTCGGAGTAATGCCAGGACCTGAGCAAGAAACTCTGTCAGCTGAGTCAAAAATGAAAACCTACTTACTCTGTGTGGAAGGTGTTCTATTTTTGGTCAATACATTTACAATATATAGGCAATATTGTATCCCATAGTGACAATGCTGCATTATTGGGATTCTGAATGCCTGTTCACATAACAGCATAAACTGACCTCATAGTTTAAGTCTGAACTGATTCAGATATTCAATTTTATTTCTTCTGGCTCTATTTTCAATAAAACCCGGCAGCTGGGGTGGATGGGGAAAGACAGAGGGAAGTCAGCCTTTGACAATTCTTTATTGGAATACACATAAATCACTATTCGCTTTTGAAATAATATTTAATTTCATAATGTGAAACAACATTCTTTTTGCTTAATAATCAATTTCTCTTATGAGGCATGTTTTTGCTAGTCTATTTGCATTTCACCATGACAGGTTTGATGGAAGATAAATCCACCCATTTTATCAGGTTTACAACCATCTTCTGGTTTTGATGCTAAAAGATGAAACATGTGGGAATTATTTTGTACATACTGGTGAGGAATAGTTTGCTGTTTATAAGATCCAGATTCCAGTTAGAATTAAGAGGACCCTGGAAATAGGGAGGGCGGGTTGAGACTTACAATCTGTAAATACTTATTACTTTACAAAACCTACGTTTTTTAGTCAAATTTCTCCTCAAAGACCTATGGCAAAATAATTTTCAAGAAAGCTAAAAGAATAACCAAAATTACATTTGGAGCAAAAGGACCAATATGTTAATACACAAATATTGAAATGCATCTTCTGTCAGACATGTTAACTGAAAAAAAATTTTCACATGCAAAACACAAGCTCAGGTTCTCAGCTGGTACAAACAAACATCACTCCAGTAGCTTTACAAGCTGTGAATTTCAGCACTCCATCAAGTTACACCAACTTAGACTTACGGCTAAGGAAAAATCAGGAGAACAAAACCCAACACAAAGGCAGAGTTGTAAAGAACCTATGTCTTCAGTGGTCTGAAGGGTACGTCAACCTTCCAGCGTGTAACACAAACAAGAACGTTATTTTTTACACAATTATTGCTGAAAGCAATATAGTGAAGGCAGGAAGCCAAAAAAATATGTTTTGCTCTAAATAATATGAGTTGCTATATATGAAGTGCTCTAGAGGTGCTGGGCCACACTCCATCCTGTATAAAAAGGCCTAAGTTAATTATGCACTTGCAGTTCAGTACATCAAGGCTGAACTCAAGTCTAAATTAATTTTTCTAAGGTGAAGAAGATGTAAGTTTTCACAAGCAATTATACAAACAGAGGGTCAGACCCATGGTATTTATGCAGGTTTCATTCAAGTCAAATCAGCAACTCGTAAAGCCAGGGTAGGAACAGTGATACAGTATCAGTGCAGCCTGAACTGAAAAGTTCACCTTTACACATATCTTACAAAGATATCAAACACGAAGGTGATCCTCATTTAAAAAAATCATTCTCCTAAACACACTGGTCTCAGAAAAACAAGATGCTAATTGGATTTTACTCCTTTTAAATGAAATGCTAAATTTCACCAGGAAATACTCTGGAAAAGCAGATATAACCAAACAGAAAATTAGAGGTGGGAAGTAATTTACATGGAAGAATCACACGATCACATCTTTACCTCGTGGCTTAAGTTTGAGATGTTTTAACCTCAAAATAAGTGCAAATAAATTTAGATGAAAAACTAAACTGTAAGATTTGGACAAAAAAGAATACAATAGTTTCAAAACAGAGAGAAACTCTAAAACGCTGAGAAAAACAAAGCCCTGTCTGCATATTATTGCTCATGCCTAGGCTGTTACTAGCAGGATCACCACATAATCTGAGAAATGACTGATAAGATAGCTAACTTCTACGGAAGGTTCATCAAACATCAATTCAGAATGAACCCAAGAAAATCAATTTAAGGAATAGGATGAGATTTAAAAAAATAATTCTACGAACTTGAGCAAATTATAGTGGTCAAAGATTTAATTTTCTGTTTACAGAGAAGTCGAGTAAGTTTCTAATTATCATAGTCTTAATAGCTTTAAATGAGAAAAAGCTAATCAGATCAGATAAAACTGATTACCATAGCTATTTATCTGCATGCTGTTGAGCTGGTTAGCAAGTTGTATTGTAGATGAAGTGGATGTAGTATTTGGGCAGGCTGGTTGTGTCTGATGACTGTAGGGAGGATAGGAAGGTCCTGTATTGCTTGGAGGTGGAGGGCCTTGAAACCTGAAGGGAAAAATTAGTGCAGTTATGCAAAAAGTTAAATCAACCAATCATAATTCTAGAAGATCTCATACCTTCTCAAGGGTGGTGCTGAAATAATTAATTAGGACAGCGAAACTCCTAATAGTTTGCTCACATTCTGCTCAGAAAAATATATACTTGTATTAAAATAGTCAAGAAGCACACAGAGATTGCACACTTGTTTTAAAAAAAAAAAAAAAGAAGACAGTACATATTTGTTTGCATACTTATTAGAAACAAGGAAGAGTGAATATGCCATGGCAAGGAGAGAGTAGTAATAACTATATGAAAGCTTGAAGATTAAGAAATACAAGCTTCTGAACCTATCACATCACTCCACCCCCTTTCCATGCTTATAAAGGAAAATTACCTATGGGGGATGGGTGAAGAAGTTTAGAAGAATCTGTGAAGAGAAGAAAATGAAGTGAGAAACTTAAGAACTTCCCTGTAGTAGAGGAAAAAAGAAGATGCAGGTTGGGAAAAACTGCTTCATGATTATCAGATATGGAAAAACATGAACGCAAGAAAAATAATGAAAGAAAAGAAAGCAGTAACACACATGTGGCTTATAAAGATATTTCCTACCAGATTATTTCACTCCGGAAAAATAAGATAGCAGGCTATCTCCCAGAGACGATCTACACTGATTTTCCTATGACCACTTCTAAAACTGAGGAGGGGCCTAGCTATTTCAAGTGAAGTAGAATTCACTTTCCTTGAAATTTTGATGTGTAAATTTCCTGGCCTAGAATAGCAACTCTCAGCAATTTGGGAATAAACCAAGATAAGGTGAAAAACAGTAGATGTGCAGCTGTCAGGGCAATGACTGGAAGCTAGGAAAGAGAATCAGTATTTTTCTGGGTTGGTCACGTCCACTCGACTCCGTTCACCTTGCTTTTTCATGTTCAGAACAAATTCCACTTCTCCCTATGCATTAGTACACTGTCTTTTACAACTGATCACTAGTCTCTCTGGGTCCTCCTTTACACAGTGATAACACATAGCCAACAAACAGGCTTCCCTATTTTGATGCCTAATAAAACACACACATGGCTTTATTTGAACGCAAGTAACTATACAATAACTAAAAAGCACAGAAGCAGATTAAGACTTCAACCAACTAAAACAAGAATGTCATTAAATGGTGTCAAGTTCACTAAAACTAAAATAGCTATAGGTACGCAAACTAATTTTGCCACTCCTGGGATGTAAGCAAAATAATTAACATTTGACAGAATTAAATAAAAGAGCTAAGCATATTTACCCACTTATAACTACCTGCAATATAACCATTGTGTAATAAAGCTTGGCTATCCCCTCGTACAATCATTTTTCCAAGATTTCTTTTTACAACTTCCACCTTTCCCTATTTTCTCCCTTCCCCACTCCTGTCTCCTTCACTTCTTCCTGTGAGCTCTGGAAATGGCACTTCAAATAAACTCGTCATAGTCAATCTCAGACCTAAGCAAAAAAGTAGCAGTCATCCATCTGAGAAGGTATAACAAAACTGCATTATAAAATGTCTTTAAAGTACCCTATGGAAACTTGGCTGTGATCCCACAACAACGAAGCAAAGACATCCTAACAAGGGCGGGGGGGAGGGGGCATGAGGGGGAGAACTACAGATATAGAGACATGCACCAGCTTCTAGTCAAAATTCGCTGGCAACTATTAATTTGTAAATAACAACTTCTTGGTACCTCACAACAAAGGAGAATTAAGACATCAGAAAGCGAACAAAAATAATAATGCAACTTCTATATCAAACAGCACTTATAACACCTTACTGCTGCTTTGAAGCGATGGGTCTAAGATCAAAAAGAAAGCATAATTAAAAAAACTCCACACAATGCACGACAAAGACCTGACTGGCTGTAAAATGGAACTTAATGAGATTACAGATCATACTGTAGGATATGGCAGTTTAACATCACAGGGAACCGAACCAGAAGATCCAGTTCAGAATTCGAATAAGTCAGAACTGCTGAAGATTAAAGGGATGCCATACTTAAATGTCAGTGAAGCAGCCGAAGAGAGGTAACAGAGGTCAAATAGCTTAGATCTCATGTATTAATTTTTGAAAGTCACCTATGTGGCTGTTGCCCTGGTGTACTGGGCCCATTCTGGAAGTTGGTCTGGCTGAATTGATGTGTACCAGGTGGTGGAGGCCCAACAGGAACCAAAGATCCAAAAGGCACAGACGATTTTGACACACCTGCAAAAGAAGAAGTACTTTTATGTAAGAACCCTGTAAGAAAGCACAAGATCGCCAAAAAATGCAAGTGTACAGCCCTGCTCTACCAGTAAGAATATGGGCTCTAGGTGGCCCTACTTGAGCAGGTGGGTTGGACCAGATGACCTCCAGAAGTCCCTTTCAACCTCAGCCATTCTGTGATTCCATTAGAAAGAACAGATTTCTCGTCAACTATAGAAGCAGATATGAAAAAGAACAGATAGTAAAAAGGAAGCAAATCGTAGTTGGTAACTTTCCACCCAAAAGGGACAGTAAGAAACCAAGAATGAACAAACAGACCCTGCAATTCAATTTGGGATACTGGTAATTCCCTGTCACCCAGTTATCTTTACAGGTATAAGCAAGAGGTCCCTTTGATTTCAGAGACCATGGTCAGAAAGAAAACTTGGAACAACCTTTAAAAAAAAAAAAAAGCCTCCATATGTAGAACCTGTAAACCTATGCTAAAAATGGTTCTTAATTCAGATCTAGAATGGTGACTATAAAGGGACTACAATTTATGTAAACAGCAGTGCCGAATAAACAGCTTTCCAACCTGTATTTCTTGACTTATTTTCCTTTAAATTACTCTAACATCAAAAATTTGTTTGGTACCAAAATTGATATTTTTCCCCAAGTATTCTAAAGCCAATTACCAGAAGTAGTTCTATCTTCTGACTATATTCAGCATTGGATTAAGGTAACACAACTCCTGCTGTCTTTAAGAAGCAGTTTTAGAGAAATTGGGTAAAACTTCTTTTTTCTGTTCTCACGATAACACAAAAATCAAGGACACCACAGAACATTTAAAAAACCTCAATATACTTGGATACTTAGTTCTGTCATTACCTTACTCCACCATCTCAAATACTAAATTTAATGTAACTTATCATAATCTGAATGTTATTAAAAATTTTAACAATTTTTTTTTTAGATGCCTTAGAGAATACTTCAGACATCTTTACTATTTTAACTAATTTTCCCCTGTGACATCAGGCAAAATATTGAGATGGTCCCTCTTCCTGCCTCCCTATCTTGGTTATGTTTATTAGTAGACTAGCAGAGGGAAGAGGAAACCTTACTCTCTGGATATTTTCCACAGCCCCAGTTCACTAGTGTAGCATGCCTACTTGAACTTTACTGAAATTAGACCAGCATGACTTACACACAGCAAAATGGGCTTAAATTCCATGCTTTCAAATTATTTTTTTTAAGCTTCAGCTACCATATACTCATATATTATACTTCTTGAAAGATCTGAAGCCGTGTATCAGTAAGTTAAAATTAATGAAAAGCAAAGGAGAGACAAAGACAGCCATGTTTATCTGTTGGATGTCAATGACATTATCTGTAGCATGATTATGCTGGCAGAAATAAAGCAAATACCCCCTTTGCTTGTGGCCAAGGTGCCCTTCCTCATAGAAGGTAATTGTCTCCTGAGTGGTTAGAAAGCAGACAAGCTCTACTTACCATGCATCATCCAAATACATCAGCAAGCTTAAGTAGGAGAACACCCACTCATACTCATAGGCAAGTTTGTGCTCAAGAATTCAGCAGGACAAAGGTCCTATTGTGAAGACTACAACCCGTTTCTGACAGCTTGCTTGCCATTGACACATATGAGTTGAGAAACATTTCTCTATTCACAGAAATCACCCCTTTTGTATGTGTCTGTATTCGGTATTACTCATAATACAGCATTAAGCACTGGTGCTTATTGCGTCCTGGACAATGGAATTCACACACGAAGGTCAGATACCCACTACCATGCATCTTACATCAACATCTGAGCATCAACAATAACACAGACAAAGCTAGTGCAGGATGCTGTTGCAGTAGCAGTGTAAAACTGAGCATTTTGTGCTGACACAAGTAAGAAAAAATGATGCAAAATACCTTCACAGAGCAGTAGACCCTGAAAACACATTTCAAGCCAAATTCATACCTGGTTGAGGTGCTGCGTATGAGGAGTTAGGGTCCCCATAATGCCCATAATGAAGTGAAGAATTAGGTGGTCCAAAACCTGCAGAAAAACCCCCTATTCCTGGCTGGGATTGGGAATATGGAGGTGCTGCAACATAACCTTGTTGACTCATGATGGCAATATTCTCATTCCAAGTATCGGGTCCTCTTAATCTGCAAAAGAGAAAGTGACACCTGCTACTACTCTTCACTCTGTGCCTTTTAAAAGGCTGTGAAACGTGTTCCCAAAAAAGACAAAAGATACATTTGAGGGCAAAAAAGGACCTGGAAGTCAGGGGAAAATAGTGGGTTTGCTTGCTTGCTTACTTGGTTTCCTCAGCACTACCACGTACTGCATGAATTTAAACAAATCACTGAATTTATCTGAACGGGATCCACCCCTCCCAGGCCCATGGAGAGAAAAACGGTAAGTAATGGATATGCAGGTGGAAAAAAACTCAAAGGACAGTCTCAAACTGTTCTCTTTACTGGGAAAACCTAGACTTCTACTACACCTGAAAAATACACTGTGAGTCCCACTCCCCAAATACCAGATATCCCCCCAATGCACACACTGAAAAATAAGGAAAGGCAGAGTGACCAGAGTATGAAACTCCTCTAGCAAACCCTTCTCCTGTCCTAGCACACCTTTTTTTAGAGGAAGTATGGAGTATGGCACCAGCTTTTCATCAAACCTTCTGCATTAAATCCATTCCAAGCAAGTGAAGGAAGATTCCTTGCTTTTGACGCTGGTGAAAGAGAGAATAAAGTTCAGGATAGAGAGAGATCCTATTTCCAGCCAACTTCTGCGTTACTGGCCCAGGCCTGAGCAGCCTTTTTATAACAGGACTCCATAGCGTGACAAAATTGAGCACAAGGTATTCCACAAATGAGAAGCTGTTCTCTGAGGGCAGTATGGCCTCAACAGTACCATATGTTGTCCTTGCTATTACCAGGCATCTTTTCCCTAACCTTTCACATCTTGATGCTGTTGTTGTTATGGAAAGAAAAAAAAAAAAACAAACAAACAAAAACAAACAGAATTTGGTTACAAGCAATCAGGATAAAATAAAGTTTTGGGAAACTTTCAGGAAAGCGTATCCTGATAATTGCAATCATGTTTAGAACTAGAAAATCTGAAGAATTCTGCATTACTAAACCAGATGACTGTATTTCATAAGACTATTTTTCAGATACAGTGCCCCTTCCACCAAGAAATTTGAAAAGTTATTGAAGTTGTACACTTCGCAGCCTTGACAGCTAGCTTTCTCTTTTCCATGTAAGACAGAATTTTAAATTTTGACTTCATATTGAACTTAACAAAACCAGAATTCCACTAAGTTTCTTGATGCCCAAATTAAAACTGTTTCAAGAAATGTTGAGGATCCAAACCCTGAATGAGCACTTACTACTTCTGTAGTCCCAAGTACATAGGTCAGGCATCCCCAAAGAACTAAAGATACATCATATAAACTAGCATTTTAAATGTTAAATGTTCCTTTGAAATAGGTTTCCCAACCATCTATATTTCGCATTCTTAGGCTTGAGCCATGGAGTCATCTCTGAGTATGCAAACTGGATGTAAGTAAATCAGGAATTGTGCTTCAGAAGCACGCAGAATGGCACCTCAAAATTACATGCAGCTCTAAGAACACAACAGACAAATTCATGCTGCACTGGCACATGCCAGTAGAGAAAAGCTATCCCTATGAGAAAACCCATCTTTAGGCTTCTCATATTAAACATACATTTCTGGAAAAAAAAAAATAAATCTGCAACAGTTTTACTAATCTTCCACGTCAGAGAAGAAACCACTTTGAGCTGGATACAGGGCCTAGTCCTCCTCACACATAGCCCGTGCAACCCTCTAAACCACACTCCTCAATGTAGCATAAGATTTCTCAGTTGCAGCATTAAACTGCTTCAGATAGAAGACAACTCCCTAACATTACCTATTTCTTAGCTAACAAGGTAAACATGGGGAGAAGAAAAAGAATGTTTAAACAGAGAGGCTTCATGCTGCCAGCCACACTTTCTTCCCTCCCCCGCCCCCATCAGAAAAGACGTGGCAGTATGAGCTTTAGCTGCTCCAAAAGACAGTAAGTCAGCACTAAATTACCTACACACTGGCACAGACATATATATAATTTTGTATCTATATAAAGGAAGGGATTTTCACTTTGATGCAGCTGCAACAGTCAACACCTTTAGCTGCGACAGCATCCAGGGGAAATGACTTCCTCACTCACTCACACACAAAAAAGTTTTGCCACGTCAAACTTCCCATAGACAGTATAAACACACAGAGGTTGTGCTGAAGAGAGACAGGAACTCAAACCACAAGCAAAATAATGTACCTTTATCAAACACAGTTCCAGAGTCTATTCAACGTTGAGCATATTTAATCCCTTCTCAAGATACGTATATATACCAACATAGGATGAAAATATTTTGGAGGCAACACCCGAAATATCAATAGAAACTGATCACCTAAGGTTTTAGTGATCAGATTCTAACAAGAGCCATACAGATTCACTCTGGAAATTGCATGAGAAAGATCAGAGGATCTGCTAAGCCCAGGTCTTTCCCTGGCTTTGTTTACTACAAGTGTCACTACACAGGAGGACATGAAAACTTTCTCCCTGTCTCTATGAACACTACTTTACACCCCACAGCCTGAGGAACAACACTAACACAAGCACTTATCCACGACTTAATTTACCGCTATTACAGAATAGGCTGTCATCTTTTTTTTCAGAGGATTACTGTACGTATGCAATGCTCTACTGCACTGACCTCTCTGTGAAGATGTAAAACTCTACTTTGTGCATGTAGAACTAGGACAACAGAATCAAAAATAGTGGATCATGTTTTTGGCTAACCGAAGGAGAACTATTAACTTTACATTTCTTCAGAGACACTGTGCTTGGTAACATCATTTAGGAAGAGGTGATGTCCCTCCCCAAGGCATGCTGCAATCTCAACTGGCAAATCATCTTTGGGGTGTGTGCATGTATCTACACACACATACACAGAATAGAATATAGCTACGCACATTACACTTTCTCTTTTTTTTTTTTTTAATACCACACTTTGGAATAAGCTATGACAGAATAAGCTTGGGTTTACTCCAATTCACTGCGAAACCCGCAAACAGTGAACACTTCTGTCCCCATTAACTAAGACTTTTAAGTTACCGTAGCACCCCAACAGGTCTCACCACTCGGTCGGTGCTACCACCCCGCTCCCCGCAGGACACGGCTGCCTGCCCGCGGTAGGAGGAACGCGGCACGCCGGCAGTACCTGTGCCCGGCCCCCCCGTGCCGGCGCTGAGGGGCAGCGTGCCGCTCGCGTGGGCTCCGCGCAGGTAGGGTGCAGCTCCCCCAGCTCCGGGGCGCCCAGAGCCCCTGCCCTCTCCCACCGCCCCTCGGGCTGCCTCTGACGGCGGTCCCACGTCCCGCGGGGCACAACCGCGACCCCCCACACACACACCTCGCCCGGGCGCTGCCCCGGCGGCAGCGCCCGATACCCCCCGCCGGCTGTGGAGACCCGGGGAGGCCGTTAGGACCGTTACCTGGGGGCCGCGCGCAGCCCCCCGCCTGCCCGCGCGCGCCGCCGCTCGGGGACACTCAACTCACCCAACTGCCACGTCTGAGCCTGCCCCCGCGCCACCGCCTCT